CTCGCTTAAGAAGCCAAATGAATTGTATATTCATCTTCAAGGGATTTGTCTCTCGAAATCCCCTCCTTCATTTTCGCACCACAGAAACGAAACACCTTTGTCATGCGCCGGGCCATCAAAATTCGGCATGCAGGTTTCGCCGTGCGTGTGAAGGAACTGGCTGGCAAAATGCTTATTTTGGTGCCCTGGATGTCAATCCAGCTCCAAAATATGGAACCATGCGTCGTAGCCGGTCTGGCGACATCCGACAAATTTTGGGTTACACAAGACATGCTGGCGCTCCGCTTCGGCATTTGGACAAAGGTCTCGAAGAAGTCTCGAAAGCTTTGAAAAAATTTCTTGTGAAACAACGGATAGGTCAGCGTATAAGAAATGAATTATAAACACACATGTGTCCATTGTGGTACCGGTGAAAAGAAAGCTCCATCGCCATCGCGTTGATAAGAGCAGAGCAACCAGTGGCCATCCTAGATATTTTGGTAATCCTTGCCTTACTCGTGAATGAGATGGTTTAAACAAACCGATGGAAGGATTGATATCCCAGGGCGAAATTTGGGGCTAAGAAAAGGCCGGCAAAGCAGATTTCAGATCCCGCAGGACGATGTCAAGAAGCAGTCCAGTGGCCCGTGAGCAGACATTGAGACGACTCGGATGGACCCACATGAGGCAGCTGGAAGATTGACGGATAGATCTGAAGAGCCAAGACTTTAATGCATGAAATGAGAACTTGCAGCACGCTGGGACATAGTGAGGAGACCTGGCAGACAGGGCGAGGAATCTGAAGAAAATGGATATCGTGGTTTGTCTTTTTATCTTCTATAGAGTCACTATGCGGCCGCAGTTCAACGACGTGTCGTCCTCAGGCGCAGTGAGCACTTCGTTTCCAGTTCTGGAATATTTCAACAGCATAGTACATAATGCTATTATGCCGCAGGACCGGTCTCTTCACCTGGGTCTCAAATTTGACAGCCCCGCAACTCAGATGCATGAAGAATATGGGCACAGTGCGAGGAAGGCGATCATATAGGGGCAAAGCTACAGGACTGTGCATAGGGCAACAGTCCACAGATGAACACCTGCTGCACGAAGTGATAGTGGGAACAGAGGGCTGAGAGGAAAGAGATAAGGGTGAATGGGGATGAAAGCTGAGGACGTTTTTACATGTTTCAGCTCTTTGCAGAACTTAAGGTGCGGCCCGTTTTTTTCTGTTTTTGGTACATTTGCGCTAGAAGAGCCGCCCTGCGCTCATTTCTACTCAAATTCGCAGGGCATGGCATGTAAACATCATTTATGGGGATCTTAGGACAAATTACTAGGTACCGTTTAGGTGTTTTTCATCGTTGGAGCGCGGAACAGCTGGCGAAGTAGGTGTAAGCTAAATTGAACTTCGGTGATAGACTTGGCCGTCAACCGGATTTGATGTATTTCCGAACCAACGTCCCTCTTCGAACCATAGCAGTTAGACCCACTGGCTGCCAGATTTGACCCTGCCTTTTCGGTTCTCGTGACAACGGATGGAAATTAGGGTGCGAGACCCACAACCCAGGCATTAGTGGTTCGAGGAACCGGCGCAGAAGTGACTTCGGCTGAATAAAATATTGAGAAAACTCGAAAAACTAATTCTCTCCTTCAAGTGAGATTACTGCACTTGAAATGGGTTCAACGCTGAGTGGCGACACATCCATGGGGATGACGGTGGATTCTAGTGGCCTGCACGCAGTCCAATTCGCTCCAAGCGCCACTTACAACGTGCTGATAATAAACTGCCGATCACCATTCTCCTACGTAACGACCTCCACCCACTAGTTCCGGCGAGAACACTGGAGTGGGATGTTCACCTTGTTACTGTTTATAAAAGCGAGGAGAAATTTGGCAACGACCAGTACCTTCTCCATACCTTGCTTCGCTGCCACATATGCGCCCGCGGAGGCCGCTGGTGGTGGTGGTTGTGTAATGCAGCACGCCGGGGGGATCCACGAGGGGGGACTGCAGGAGGTCTTTGTGGGCGAATGTGAGGGAGGCGGATTCGGACATGGTTGGTCTTGCGGTGCTCGTCGATCACATAGTACTACTGATAGAACTCAACGTACACTTCCCATGACGCGCGGACTCGCTCAAAATGACCCGTGTGGGATCATGAGGTTTCATTGACATGCGCAATAGGACGGACGCTTTCGAAAATGCCTGGGGGAAACGAAAACAAAGTCGGATTCAAGTTCAACGCGGGTATGTTCAACAGGAGATATAGCCAGCAAGTCTGAGAGATTTTCTTCGGTAGTTCCATGACTTTAAATTCGAGAGCATGGAGAATAGACCGTACGAATAAGATGGGATTCAAAATCAGTAGCAGCCCAGATATCGCCACTTCTCATTGAGTCACGTCTTAGTCACAGCGTTATCAGCGTGACGACTGCATCTCCTGCGACGCCCAAGACGCGCCAGGACGCAAGTGACGCGCGCTCGCCCAATCCGCTTCGGCCCAGATACACTCATCCCAGGGCGTATGACGTGCTACGCCCCGCAGGCCATCACACTAGTATACGCAACCCCACTGGATCCACATCCCGCGCTGTTCGCTTGCATCTAAGACGAGCACGCAACAGAAGCAAGCTCCTCCCCTCGGCCGACGCACACCCAGAGCATCCCCATCCCAGCCATCCTCGCTCCTCGCCACCGCCGCCTCCGAAGAAGGGTACCCGTCGACCACCCTCCCCACTCCCTATCACCGATCCAAACGTAATCAACCCCTTCTCCTACGTAAACCTCAGCACCCCCTCCTCGTCGTCCATCATACACGTATCGCTCGTCGCGTACTACTTCGGGATAAGCAGCGTCTCGACGACGCAGCGCGTCTTTCGGGCGGGGCCTGGGAGGGCGTTGGTATTGGGTGTGTAATGGGGCAGGAAGAAAAAGGTGGGCGCGGGGAACAAGAGGGAAGAAGCGGGCAGCGGGGAAGGTAGGAAGAGAATGGGAGAGGAGCGGGAGCTGCGCGAGAAGGAGAAGAGGAAAAAGATAAGAGAAAAAGATAAGACGCCACTCACTCCACTCCTCACAACCTCCCTCCCAAGCAGCAACCCACACGTTTCCAAATTCCTTGCACTATTCGCACTCGCAATCGCCAAAAACCTTGGTAGAGTCGCCTGCGGCAATACCACCGTCCGTAACTTGGGATGTGGCGACCTCTCCCGCTCCAAGCGCTCAGCGTTCGCGCGCGCGGCCGCCGCCCGCTGACTCGCCAGCGCCTCCTCCCGCTCCCGCTCCCGCTGCGCCGCCCGCAAATCAGGCGGAGGCCCTGAAAGCGAATGTATTCAGGCCCGATACGACGACGGCGACATTCGCGCGATTTCCGAACGACATGTACCGCGCGAGGGAGGGGTATGCGACGGTGCTTTGGCTGGGGGGCGGGAGGCCGTCGGCGCGCGTGCCTGGGGGTGTGTAAGTACGTGGAGGAGAAGCGGCGAGAGAAGTGGACGGATCGGAGGTGTTGAGGCCCGCCATGTGAGACGAGGTCGTCTGTGGGTGAGGTGGGCGTTGGGAAGGCGATGTGCGGCGGGTCGGGGCAGGCGCTGGGGGACGGAAGAGGGTGAAGGGGAGGGTAGAAAGGCAAAAGAGAGGATGAGGAGGGATTGAGGGAAGGAATGATGGAGTCGAGCGAGAGATACGCAGGGGAGAGTCACGATGCGAGGGAGGACGGGAGGACAGTGCGCAAGAGCGACGAGGAGGCCCGGTGGAGATGTGATACGGGGACGAGGGTTGCGCGGCGCAGCGAAACGGAGGTGGACGATCACACGCTCCCAAGTGCACCGGTGGTGCAGCAGGCAATCTTTGCCTCGTCGTAGTTGCACCCTTCGCTCCTCATCGTCCTCGTAGCTCACCCCATCATCCAGGCGTTCAAGACCTCCGCAGGATTCCAGAACTGCGTAGTCGTGTCCCAGGGTGCGGCGACTGCTGGTGCGGCTCCTGCCGATAACGCAACTGCCGCAACGAGTACCGCCGCTGCTTCCGTCGCTACTGGCACCGCCGCCGTCGCTGCAGCTGGTGCCAAGGTCAAGAAGGTCAAGCCCCCCGCCAAAGCTGCTAAGAATGCTGCGAAGGCTGCGAAGACCACCGCTGCTGCCGCCGCACCCGCCCCCGCCGCCGCCGCCGCTGCAACCGCCGCCTGTCGTACGCGTCCTCCTCACCTTACACCCTTTCTCATCTCATCTGGCGCGCAGCTCGTACTGATATCTGGGCATGAGTGCCGGTATCTGGACATGAGTAGCATTGAGGGGGTAGGTTCCAAAATTCGTCTTGTGTACGGAGGATTTTTGACTGTTCCTGGGACTGGGACCCGCCCTTCTTCTTTCATTTGTACTCGATGTATGAATTTATTGGGGGGGCGTGGATTTCTTTGGTCGTTGTCACTTTGTTTGTAATCGCGTACACTTGATTATAACAGCGCGGCCTGCCCGAATTTCTTATCTTTTTGTGTCTCTGTGAGCTCGCCTCATGGCAGCAGGTTACCGTTTGTGCAAGTAGTTTTGCGGGCACGCTTCGGAAGCTGTACTAACAGTTTCGCCGCAAGTTGTTCAGCGTAGTAAACCTCACTGGAACTGGACTGAATACTAAAAACACTGCGTCGAGTCTTCATGATTTTCTGCATTTGTTATTCAAAGCAGGCTTCCGGCGAACGACGAACGAACCAATCCAACGATTCAGTGACTCGACAAGTCCGTCAGATCCCCAATGTCAATTACCCCAATAGCACAGCAGGCGGGCGCGATACGTTTCGCCGCTAGGTCGTCTTTACACTTTATTCGGGTGGGTTGTACTGGGTTGGTGGTTTGTGTAATCTCGCGCCGAGTCGCGCCTCGCTAAACTGTTGGGTTGAATCATAATATATACCTTGGGTACTCCAAACCACGAGATTGAAGATCAATGAGGCCGATAGAATTGAGAAGAATCCGACGCGTACGATAAGGCAAGAGAGGGGGACAGCGAAAAATACGCCCATCAAATGATGACCCGACCTGGATTCGAACCAGGACCTCCTGCAGCAACTCTGGCTGGTCTATTCGATTCAAGCGGTGCGGACGCGATACCTTTCGCCATCGGGTCTTGTTCCTACACAGACGGTGTCGTCCATGTTAGTGAATGATAAGGAAAACAATTCGCGGGTGGCGGAAGTCAGCAGGATCTGCCCTGTATTCGAACCGGAGTTTCCCGTGGACGTACCTAGAAATCGAAGAGCCTCGGGTGAGATACCTTTCGCCACTTTACCTCTTAGATCTTTGAAACCCAGAATGTTTTACTGGGCCATGGGCGGGAATTTTTGATGATAAACCCGACAGCGTTGGAAGAATGGTATCCCCAGATTCCGTTTCTCGCGTCACTCTCTACCGCCAGTTATTTTTGTGAGACTGCTAAAGTGCCAACTGCAAACGAGCACCGCTAATATCGTGCACGAAGGGAACAGTGCAAGCCGTCGTCGGGAACGTTATCGGAGCCAATTCAAGCTTCATCGAGTCTAGATGGAATTTCACAGGTCCTGACCGGCTCCCTGATTTTTTGTTGCGGGCTCGGTCCTCTCTGGGTGAGTATTCAGATGCGCCCGAATCCCAATTGATGCAGCCAGTACTTATCATTGAGGCATCTAGTCCAATGTGCGTCGGGAGAATTTCCGCCGGTGAGTTGCCGATGAGTGTTCTCTAAACAACGCACACGGAGATTCGTGCAGTGACAATATTTCAAATCCTATTATGGATTCCTATAAAACCCACCAACATCCTTTGAGATCTCGTCATCCCAGTACGCCAATCGTCGTCATCCAAGCGCGTAGGAAGATGTTCGAGAGCCCTTGAACATGGTCGTTGAGCATGCAGACAAGCGGTGAGAGGTCCATATTTTTCTTTTCTGGCCTGGCAGCCGACCCTACCTCCCTGCCCTTGATCGGAATCGCCCTTGGTTTATAATGAGCGAGGAACGAGCTGGTTGCATTATAGCGTCTGTCTAGAGAGACTACCTTGGTTTACTTACCCAGGCGGGAAGATCTCGAATATGATTGACCATCAGAAGAACCAATTAGGACGAACAAAATGATGCATGCATTTAAAATTGGGAACTAGTTCAATTACTAGTAGCTCATTGAAAATAATCTTTTCAACAAACTCTTTTTGTCTTTCGAGAGCGCAAGTTCGCGGAGATTGTAATATAACAAGCTACGAATCAGCGTTAAGAGAACTCCGGACCAACTTTGGAAGACTGCAGAGAGATCATGAAGTGTCCGTGGAATCGGAACGGGATCAGAATCGCCCTTCGGGAAGATCTCGAATACAATTGACCCTCGGAAAGAAGAAATTTGCGGGTACTCAATAAAGTAATTGGTCGTTGCACCTAAGGCCCTCCGGATTGGGGGTGAAAGAGGGCTGGTCTGACATTGAACCGAGAAGGAGATTTGAGCTTCAGAGTTAATGTCGAGGGTAGTATTTTAGATCGGTGCAGTAAAACGCCTCCATGCGCAATTCAAGATCCCGACTTCAATGTTGCGATGATTGTTTCTGTATTTGGTCGGTCGCGAGGCTGCTGGGCCCACGCAGCCGTGATGAGCTCCCACAGGTCGTCCGACATGGACGTATCCGGGCGCGCCGGCCGTTCTCCAGCAATCACCCTCAGCATCACCGCAACGTCCGGAGAGACACCTGAGAACGGTGGACGACCTGTATGTAACTAGGACACTTCAGCACAAATCAGATCAACTTTATGGACTGCACTTGCCTCGAGACACACACAAGCGAATGCGTACACATCACTAGCGGGCGTGCGCGCAAAGCGCTCGCATCCGAACGAGGTGGGATGGACCAACTCGGGCGCAAACCACCGCACGCTTCCCGCACGGTTGCTCGAGGACGTGAGCGCGCCCTCAGTGGTGGGAGTCTCGGTGGCGCTCGTCAGACCAAAGTCCGCCAGACATGCGTTCCAATCGTCCGACACGAGTATATTTGTTCCGCGTAGGTCACCGTGGACCACATTCATCGAATGTAGGTGGCCGAGACCCTCCGCGACTTGAAGCACCTGTCAGCATAATTATAATCATGGTTTTGCTACGTGCGAGGGCATACATGCTCACCAACTTGTCAACGTCAGCGCGCCCATGTTCCGTCAGGTATTTCAGGACAGTGCCGTGCTTCATCCATGGCGAGACCATGCAAAACGATAAGGGAAAGGTTTTACGGTCGATGCCAATGAGAGGTAATATATACTTGTGCCGAAACGTCTGCCACACGAGTGCTTCCCGGCAAAATTGCTGCGAGATCACATGAGCAAAGTTGAACCATTTTCAGAATCATATGGGTGCTGGGATTCACCAGATGAGCACGTTTCGAGTCTGTGCTTGCTTGGAACATCCTGATGCGTTTTAGCGCGACCGGCTTGCCATTGTACGACGCGCGAAAAACGTCGCCGAAGCCCCCGTGGAAAGTCGGATGCTCATCGTGTTCGGTGACACCGGTGATGAAGAGCGACGAAGGCAACTGATCGCTCGCCTCCGAGAGTCGAACAATTAATCTTCGAGCCTGCGCCATATCTGCAGCATTCGAGAGCGATCCTCTGTCGATAACCTTGCACTTGGATCAGCTGCCTAGTGATATTACATATAAATAAGGAGAACTCACATCCTGGACAGCATCCATGAAGGACTGAATGCGGTCGCGGTCGATCTGCAGGACTTCGCGCTTGGAATCCGGGAAGGCAAGAATGGCCAGAAGCGAGGAACAGATGAGCTGCTCACACGATTGTAGCGCGTCACGGAGATCGGTGGACGATAAACCCTGATTTAAATCATGGTCAAAAAGAAAATATTTGCATTGATCCGCACAGCTTACTTGTGAAAACAACGCTGTTCGGCGTTCCTGGTTGTGAAGAAAAGCACCAACAAGACCTATGCAGGTCGTTTTCTGCTTGCCATTGAAGAAACTTGGAGGCTAAACAAAAGAATGAGAAAACCCGAGTAAGATGGGATGAGAAGAGGTTACAGGATACTTGATATGTTCTAGAGGAACAGAATTGAAACCCGTCCTTACTGCATAAATTAGGCCAGAAACGTACTGGTGTTGAAGACGTGCACAAAGCTGGGATCATCGTTCTCGGATGGTTGGGATGGTTCACCACCAAGCACATAAACCTTGTTCTCTACAGCAGCCATAGCGTGTCCTGAACGACCGCTCGGTGATGGGCCCATGTACTGAAACCCATACCATCTTTGATCTGCCAACTGGTTAATAAACGCTGCCAGAGGTCACCATCGCACGAACGGGAAATCTTGAAAGCCCCCAGATCGCTTAAATCTTTTCCGTCCACGCCACGTCCACCGAAAATATAAATAACGTCGTCGACTACCGCAGCAGCATGTCCTTCCCGTGGAGCTGGGATGATACCGACGCATTCCAGTTCCGACCACATCCGCGTGGTGAGATCAAACGACCATGTATCGTTGTAATGGTGCTGGCCATCGGTGCCGCCGAAGCTAGCACATGTTCAGTGCATGGATTGACCCGTATGAACGAACAAGACGCACATAATGATCCTATTCTCGAATGCTATGCATACATGGTTGGTTCTCCGTGCTGGTCGCTCCGCAGATGCAGGTTTACATTTTTTCCAGGTCGCTTTGGTCCGGACTGCCAAATCCCCGATGAGCGTGGTGAGAAATAAATATCGTACCCTGAGAGCGTACGTGAATTTAGGTCGAAGGACCACATGTCGTTTAAGAATTTCCCCTCGACCTGGCCGCCAAACACGATGAATTTGGAACCCTGCGCCACTGTGGATGCATGACCATATCGGCCAATTGGCACTGGTTCGTACATGATGATCTTGTTCCAATCGCGACTAACTGTGGGGGAATGAGAAAGGGAGTGAGGAGCATGTAATCTGCTTACCGAGGTTGAGCACATATAGGGCGTTGTCCAGTTTATCAGTCGGCTTTGATTTCCCGTCTGTCGTGGTATTGCCCCCCCAGATGATCAGGACATTGCTAACAAGAGCACCCGTGTGGCCGAGCCGCGGTGAGGGGTCCGCGCCTGTGGTCTGCAACAACGTAACGGACTGATCGCGGCTGGAGAAGACGTAGAGGTCGTTGCTGGTTGTCAGGCGAACGAGACCGCCAAATATGTAGAGGTCGCCGCTCGCGGTTGGGGTCGCCGGGAGGGCGTGTCCATAGCGGGGAAAGGGGGATGGGGACGGGGACGGGGAAGTGGGTGGGATGACACCGGGACTATTGATCACGATAGGCGGGAGCAGCAGGAGACGCTGAGCAGCCCAGGGGTACGCCGGCTGCGGTTTCGGCTGGGACGGCTGGGGCGGCTGGCCACCCTGGGTGCCGCTTCCTCCAGTTGGACGTGGGCTCCTAGGGAGGCCAGCCAATGGCCGGAGGCCGCCCTTATGCGTCCCATTGAGCTTATTGTCGTCCTTGAGGCTCGGCGCACTGGGGAGAGATATCGGCAAGTGAGAGGTGAAACAATGAGACACTGACAATTCCTTAGAGTCTTCCTCTGCGAGCGCCGGGCGCGGACCGAGACCCAGGGCCACCGAGCTCCGAGTCGGTGCGATAGTTATGGGCCACTCAGATTGCTGACCCTGGGGCTTCCCGGAGAATAAGGGCCTCATGCTTCGGGCTGCCTATCGTAGTAACGAGGGTTGGGGAGTCGGCGGAAGCTAGGATACGGGCGAACTGACAGCTGAATGTCTTGTTAAATTTTGATCCTGATGGACGTCACGGTACCTGTACTCTGGCATTCAAACATTCACCACATTTTGGGGACACACACAGAGCAGGGGGAAGATTCAGGATATAGGGGCCTCGCATTGCGACGGGAGGAAAAATCATCCCAGCTTTGAAGCAAAAATCGTCGCGTTTAACCAATACTGTTTTAGACTCCATTCGGTTGCCGTTACTTAGTGGCACTTAGCAACACTTGATGAAATCAAAAGACCGTAATTTTATTGAGTTACTTTGAAAGGGATAATTCTATTTGGCACCCTCCGTGCCATTGGCACCCGGGGTGCCGCTATATAGCACCCCATGATTTATAAGACAACCGATGATGGCGGCTGATGGCGGG